TTGGACTTGAATTACTTGCAAGTAGGTTAATTGCTGTAATGCATCCACCTATAAAAATTACAGGGTGGCTCACTCAAGGGCTCTGAATCTGTGGCAACAAGTGGAAGTTTTCTTTCCTTGTGTGCTTCAGAGGACAGCCAGCTGGACTCTGCGGGCCAGCTTCTCTTGATGCTCCTGAGGCTCATTCTTCTTGGCCACTCGGCCAAATGGCAGCGATCACAGACTTAGGTTTTATGTACTGCTGGTTTAAGAACTGTAATCTGGTTCGCAACCTTTCAGAGAAGTATGTCTTCATTACAGGCTGTGACTCTGGCTTTGGAAATGTACTGGCCAGACAGCTGGTTGAAAGAGGCATGAGAGTGCTGGCTGCTTGCCTTACTGAGGAAGGGGCTCAGAAACTTCAGCAGGAGACATCCTACAGGCTGCAGACGATCCTACTGGACATTACTAAGACTGAGAACGTCAAGGCTGCGGCTCAATGGGTGAGGGACCAAGTGGGTGACCAAGGTAGGGCAAACTGCATTCTTTGGCTCTCAGTTTTCTTACTCTCAGCCTCTAACAGTCTCAGGGACCCTGCTGTCCAAATAGGTGGGAGAGGTGATATGAAAGGAACAGGGCTACAAGGAGCTGGTTTGGCTAGATTGCAAGTCTCTGTGTGGTTTGGCCTTGGCCTGTCCTTGGTGGTTTTCTAAGGAGTTTCTCTCCCAGAATTGAAGAGTGACAAGGCACAAGTCTGGATAAGCGGTAAGGAAGGGAAGATGTGTTCTGTTTGTCCAAACCTTGAAGGATGGAGAGACCTCTCAGAGAGTTCAGTGGTGCTACCATTAGTCCTGTACAAGTCCTAGTGCAGGACCAAGGGGCAAGAGACTGGTTTTCATGGGTGGGCATTTGCTGTCCTTTTGTCATACAGAGAAGGGCAGGTGTCTAAGAATTTGGGGACTACTTCAGAGTGGCTGCTCCAAATGGGAAAGGAACTTGTAGGATTGAGACCACACCAAGAGTGGGTAGGATTTGCTCAGGGACATTGTGGCATACAGGATATAGGGACAGGCCTGAGAGGTACTAGGTAGTGTGGTTGTGCAGGTAGCAATAGCCTGGGAAAGGCCTCATCCCAAAGAAATGAGGCTGGGCCTCGGCCCAGGAGGGGTAATGAGCTTGGGTTCCAGGAGGAGCCAGACACAAGCTCCTTATTTTACTTCTCTCCTTAGCATTTATCCCTATCCAATGCACAGTATGTTGTACTTTTTTATTATCCGTTTGCTCTGCTGGAATAAGGCTTCCTGGGAACAGGCTGGCTTCTTTTGCTTTTGTCTCTTGTATCCTGAATACCTAGAGTAGTGTCTGGTACCTAGGAGAGTGCTTAAGAAATATTTGTTGAATAAACTAATTAGTGAATAATTTAGTAGCGCTGAACCTCTCTCTCCATCACTGTGCTTCACCCACTTACCTACATCCAACCTCAAGCCCATGGAGTTCATGACTCCTCCAATATACTGCTGCTGCTGCAACGAAGATACTCAAATGTAGTAGCTTAATGACATATTTTTATTGCAATTATAGCAGAGCAAAGTCTAACGTGGGCCTCCTCAGGTTAATATGAATGTCTCCACAGAGGGTTTCTTTCTGGGATCCCCAGGGAAGAGTCTATTTCTTTGCCTTTTCTAGGTTGGGGGATACCAGCATTTTTGGCACATGGCCCATTTTCTCCATGTTGGAGACCCACAAAGATGGGCTGTGTCTCTTCCTATCTCTTTGGTTCTCTAGTTTCTGCCTTTTTAGAAGAAGTCTTGTAATTATATTGGGCATATGAGTCCTGTATAATGTCCTCATTTTAAGGTCTACTGATGATCAATGTTAATTCAACTGGAAATCATAATTTTATCTTATGTAGCCTTACATATTTACAGATTCTAGGCATTAAGATGGTAATATTAGTCTGGGGAGATAGTTTAGTGGTCTAAGTATCTGCCTGGCAATCACAAGGACCTGGGTTCAATCCCCAGCATCACATGCTGCTCCAGCCCCAGAATTCTGGGTGTGCTGTGCTGACCACTAAAACCAGATATGGCTGCACTTGCCTGTTATCTCAGTGCTTGGGAGGCTGAGACAGGAGGATCACTATGAGTCCAAGCTGTGTAGTGAGACTGTGTACCGGATAAATAAATAAATAAATAAATAAATGTGATATTTTTGGAGACCTTTATTCTCTCTATGCCATTGAGCAACATCCTTGTTCTAAGAAGCCCTGGAAACTGTCAGTGGGGAGATGGTAAATAATTACTGCATGCTTTCATGTTGGCCTTGCAAGTCCCTAGACAAGAGGGTGGCACAACCCAAAAGCTGTTAGTCCTGCTCTTGCTCTTCTCTGGTTACTATGTAGGAGAAAAACAGAAAAGTCGTCTTCCTTCCCCAAGAGATAGTGCATTCTCCGCTGGAGCCCTTTTGCTGCATGGTCAGTGGCAGTGGTGCTGTGTCCCTTCCCCACAGGCAGAGACCGCTGGAGTTTTATGATTTGAGTTCTCAGAAACCTAATTTTTCTCCTTTGTAAGGCAAGAACATCCCCTTAGGTGGGGAAGTTCTAAGTCCTGCCCACCAGCTGGTCTCTGGGAGTCTGTCTAATAGGAGGAAGGCAGAAAAACAAGTGGCCTGACCTGGCAGAGATGCCAGGCATAGGTGGACCAGAATTGCAGTTTGCATGCAGACCTGCCCTCTGAGAGAGGTAAGTGTGCCAGCAGGGTGTCTTGAGGCTCTGTTGGCCAAGATGGGCAGTGCAATGGGAATGAAGAAAGGACAGAACCAGTAGGTGGGATTCATGGGATCCTTGGATGAAAGAGCGAGGAGAGGTCACTGAGGGTGAGCCTTCTCCGGGGAAATTGTACTTGGAGGCTCAATATGTAAAACAAATGAAAGCCTCTTCACTAGCAGGCTTGAGACACAGGTTAGAAACACCTGCCATGGTTGAGTCTGATACAGAATCTGAGGCCCAGTGTGGGAAGGGGCCTGTCTAAGGCTGGAGCTAGAGCTTGGCCTAGGACTTGAGGCTCTTGATCCCCTGCAGATGTGAATGATCGTATTTAATATTTACATCCTTGAAGGGTGAGACCCTTCTTGATTTTATATCTCTTTGCCCTGTAATTGGCAAAGAGTATGCATGAATGAATGAATTTGTGAATGGAAAAATGAACTAACTTTAGTAACAGTTGAAATGGAATTGGCTTCTTATCCCTAAGTGAATACAAAAAAGAAGCAGAATTGGTGAGGGAATTAAACATTAATCCTTTCTTAAGAAAAGGCTATCTCTTATTCCTTAGCTAAAAGCCTAGGTGTTTGTAGCTGCATGTTGCCTTGATTATAGCTGGTATGGAATTCCAACTAAATCAGAGCCAGAATGTGAATCAGGAAAGGTGACCCTTCAGCAGGGAGCACCAGTCAGTAAAGAGCATACCATGCTCTTGTAGCTGCCTCACCTAAGCCATGTTGTCGTGTGTCTTGCACACCAGCTCAGCTATCCTCAGCGACCTGGTGGGCTATTGTCCGAGGTATTTTCCAAGAGGTACTGTGATGACTTTGTATTTCTGTCTCTTTCCATCTCTTCTTCAGGCTTGTGGGCCCTGGTGAACAATGCTGGTGTGGGCCTGCCCAGTGGTCCCAATGAATGGCTGACCAAGGAGGACTTTGTAAAAGTGATCAATGTGAACTTGGTGGGAACGATTGATGTGACCCTTCACATGCTGCCTATGGTCAAGAAGGCTCGGGGCAGGGTGGTCAACATGTCCAGCTCTGGTGGTCGTGTGGCTGTCATTGGTGGTGGCTACTGCATCTCCAAGTTTGGCCTTGAGGCCTTTTCTGACAGCATCAGGTGACTGGGTCCTGGGACCAAACTATTGTAGGTGGGGATCCAGGGGTTTTAACTTAGAGAGAGAGGGCAAATTCCCAGCATGTGTGCAGGGACATTGTGAAGCAGGAAAGCTAAAGGAGCAGGATCCCAGTGAGCCTTCCCCAACCAATAAGAGAAAAAGGGAAGTGAAGAACAGGTAGGACAAAGACAGAGGACAGCTGATGGGGCTACCCTAATGAGTCTCAGAGTGGAGATTACACTGTGTGGGTCTGTAGGAATAAGAAAGAACTCCTGAAACAGACACAGAGCTCTGGCACAAAGGCACCCCTGGGAAGACCCTCATAGAGGAACATTGATTGGCTTTGTATAGATACCATCACTCCTTCTATAGTGTGGATGTGGTGTTGGGGCTCAGTATAGAAGATGCCTGGGGGGAGGAAGATCTTGGCCTAGATTCTCCACTAACTTTCTGCTGCATCTGCCTAATTGTAGAGATTACTGGATTTGCTTGGTAAAGGGTTGAGGTCCTTGGGAAGAATGTTTTTGCATAAAGAAATGCCTGGGGGCTGGAGAGATGGCTCAGTGGTCTAAAGCACCTACTT